GCCTCCTCCCTCCTGATAACCATCAGTTTGTTCTCTATCAAGAGTCTGTTTCTTGGTTTTCTCTTTTTTTTTTTCCTTTGCTCCTTTGTTTTGTTTCTTAAATTCCACATATGAGTGAAATCATATGGCATTTGTCTTTCTCTGACTGACTTATTTCACTTAGCATAATACTCTGTAGCCCCATGTCATAGCCTTTATAATATTGAGGTATGTTCCCTCTAAACCTACTTTGTTGAGGGCTTTTATCATGAATGGTTGTTGAACTTTGTCAAATGCTTTTTCTCCATCTATTAAAATGATCATATGGTTTTTATCCTTTCTCTTATTGATGTGATGTATCACACTGATTGATTTGAGAGCAATTCATTCCCTTTTATGGCTGAATAATAATCCATTGTATGGATATACCACATTTTATTTATACCTTCATCAGTTGACAGACATTTGGGTTGTTTCTATCTTTTGCTATTATGAATAATGCTGCTATGAATATTCATGCACAAGTTTTTGTGTGGATTTGTGTTTTTATTTCTTTAGGGCATATATATATATACCCAGGACTGGAACTGCTAGGTCAGCTCTCTCTTCTTTTAATTTTTAATTTTATTGTTAGATTAGACAGTACATTTCCATATTATTTCACAATTTAAAAGGTACAGAAGAATTCCTGTTCTTTCCTCAGAGGCAACCAATATTTCCCAGTTTAAATGTATTTGGGGGGGACATTTCTAGCATATAGGAACAATTATGAATATGTGTTCTTCCTTTTTTTACACAAATAGTGACATATAATGCACACTGTTCAGCACCTTTCTTTATTCATTTAACATTAATGCTTACAGATTATTCCATATCATTACAAAAAGAACTTTTTTTTTTTAAAGATTTTATTTATTTATTTGAGAGAGAGAGAATGAGAGAGAGCACATGACAGGGAGAAGCAGACTCCCTGCCGAGCAGGGAGCCCGATGCGGGACTCGATCCTGGGACTCCAGGATCATGACCTGAGCTGAAGGCAGCTGCTTAACCAACTGAGCCACCCAGGCGCCCCAAAAAGAACTTTTAAAAAAATTTTTTACTGTTATGTTAATCACCATACATCACATCACCAGTTTTTGATGTAGTGCTCCACGATTCATTGTCTGTGAATAACACCCAGTGCTCCATGCAGAATGTGCCCTCTTTAATACCCATCACCAGGCTAACCCATCCTCCCACCCCCCTCCCTTCTAGAACCCTCCATTTGTTTTTCAGAGTCCATCATCTCTCATGGTTTGTCTCCCCCTCCGATTTCCCCCCTTCATTCTTTCCCTCCTGCTATCTTCTTCTTCTTTTTTTTCTTAACATATATTGCATTATTTGTTTCAGAGGTACAAATCTGTGATTCAACAGTCTTGCACAATTCACAGCGCTCACCATAGCACATACCCTCCCCAATGTCTATCACCCAGTCACCCCATCCCTCCCACCCCACCCCCCACTCTAGCAACTCTCAGTTTGTTTCCTGAGATTAAGAATTCCTCATATCAGTGAGGTCATAGGATACATGTCTTTCTCTGTTTGACTTATTTCGCTCAACATAATACCCTCCAGTTCCATCCACGTCGTTGCAAATGGCAAGATCTCATTCCTTTTGATGGCTGCATAATATTCCATTGTATATATATACCACATCTTCTTTATCCATTCATCTGTCGATGGGACACCTTGGCTCTTTCACAGTTTGGCTATTGTGGACGTTGCTGCTATAAACTTCGGGGTGCACGTACTCCTTCGGATCCCTACATTTGTATCTTTGGGGTAAATACCCAGTAGCGCAATTGCTGGATCGTATGGTAGCTCTATTTTCAACTCAGAAAGAACTTTTTATTCTTTTTATAAATGTGTAGCACTCCCTTGGATGGAAGGAAATAATTTATTTAATTTGAATAATTTATTTCATCAATTTCCTATTAAAAGGCATTTAGTTCTCCCCCAATCATTTGTTATTACAAACAATGCAATGAAAAGCTTTGAAAAAATACCATTTCCCAGGGTACGTGGGTGGCTCAGTCAGTTGGATGTCTGCTTTCGGCTCAGGTCATGATCTCAGGGTCCTGGGATGGAGCCCCAATTTGGGCTCCCTGCTCACCAGAGGGTCTACTTCTCCCTCTCCCTCTGCCCCTCCCCCAGCTCGTGTTCTCTCTCTCTCTCTCAAATAAATAAATAAAATCTTTAAAAAAACACACCATTTCCCTTATGTTGAGCTCATCCATAGGATACATTTCTAAAAGTAGAAGAACCTTATCAAAAGGTATGTGAACTTTAAATCTTGACATCTAATGCCAAATTGCCTTCCATAGAGGTGATACCAATTCACTGCCCATCTGCAAGGTATGAACATGCCTGTTTGCCCACACCTTCACCAATCTGATGGGTGAAAAATGTGTGATTTTAAATTTGCAGGGTTTTTTTTTTTAAGATTTTATTTATTTATTTGACAGAGAGAGACACAGTGAGAGAGGGAACACAAGTAGGGGGAGTGGGAGAGGGAGAAGCTGGCTTCCCGCTGAGCAGGGAGCCTGATGCGGGGCTCGATCCCAGGACTCCAAGATCATGACCTGAGCCGAAGGCAGACGCTTAATGACTGAGCCACCTAGGTGCCCCTTAAATTTGCAGTTTTCTTATTATGAGTGAATGAAAGCATCTTCAATTCTCTTTTCTGTAAAATGTTCATATCTTCTGCCCGTTTTTCTACTGGATGCGGTCGTTTTCTTGATGATTTGTGGATGCTTTTTATTTATCAGAGAAATTAGCTCTTTGTCTATAATATGAATGCCTAAAACTGCTTCCGATGAGCTAAGCCTGTTGCTTTTGTAGATTCCTGTTCATAAATATGCAGGTTTTTCTCCCTGAGAAGGTATTCTATTGCCCACCCCATTGACCAGGGGTAACTGTGCGACTTGCTTTGGCCAATTAAATGTGGGCAGAAGCATGTTTGTCACTCTGGGCTGAAGTTTGAATTGCCAGTGCTCTGCACAATCTCTTTCCTGCTGCCATGGTAATTGGCATCAGCAGATGATGGCTGTGCCTCCAGCCGAGGAACCCAAAGTGAAGGTGGCAGTAACGACCACATGGGAGCAGAGACCCCGGCCAGTCTGCAAGAGAACATATAGCGTGGGCAAGAAAGAGTCCTTTGTTGTTGGATGCTACTAAGACTTTGGCTTTTTTTTTCTTGCTGCAGCATAACTAGCCTCTCTTGACAGATATAGATGATTTTTGTCACCAAGAAAATTTTTTCATTTTGATGAGGTTAAAACAATCAATTCTTTATTTCAAGACTTCTGGGCTTATATCAGAAGATCTTTCCCCAGTTCTGGATCATTATTTCAAAAATTCTCCCACGGTAGGTTGAAAATCCATGATTTCTCTCCCAATTAGCTCTTTGTCTATAGACAAGGAGATCTGAATCAGGCAGATCTGAATGTTGTTTCATCGTTAAAGAAGCAGGGGCCTGGGGTAGTGGCTGAATCAGCCACCATAACCAATGTTGGATTACGTCTGGCTGCTACTAGGAGACTTGACTATGGACATTGACTCCAACTAGGAGCTTGTTCTTTCACACAGAAATCCAGAGTTGGGCGTTCTGGGGCTGCGAGGGCAGTACCAAGGGACATCAGAGACTCAGGCTTCTTACTTACTTCTGTTTTACCCTCCTTAACATGTGGCTTTCTTAGACTTCATGGTCTAAGATGTCTGCAGGAGCTCCAGCCATCAAGTCTGAGTTCCAGGCAGGAAGTAGGAGGAAGAGAGTAGGGTACAGGGGCCTGTATCAATTGTTCATCTCCCTTTGGAGGAACTTTCTTGGAAGTATCACTCAAAAACTTTTGCTTGTTATCTCATTGCTCAGAATTTAGTGATAGGATCATGACTTGTTCCAAAGGGGCAAGAAGTGTTTTACTATGTATATATTTTCAAGGAGTGTTTCACTAAGTCTATTTGCTGGGCAGTCTGGGTGTTGGTGTGATTGAATGGTGCCAGGTGCCCCTGAAATGTGGTGACAAGGTCCTCTGGTAGCCTCAGGGCTTTGGAGGCAGGACCTGCTCCTCAAACAAGAGCTCCCTGGGTGGTGAATGCTGGCAGAAGGCACCACAACCGTCAGCCTGCCCTCCTCGCTTCTTCACCCTTCCCAGGCCGGCTCCGGCTTTGGGGGACTTCCGGGATGTGGCCGCACCTGTGTGAGGGGAGGACCCCTGGGGGTGGGGAGCTGGCCTCGGCTCTGGGAGTCAGAGCTCTGGTGGTCTGTAGCCCGTCCAGCCCCAAACGGCACCGACTGCCTGAGGCTTCCCCTCCCCTGAGCCCATTTCTTTCTCTGTAAACTTGGGTAACGAGAACCACTTCCCAGGGCTGCTGTGATAACAGAATGAAGTCATGTCTAGCAAGGCCTTTGGGGTTGCCGCTGTTGACTTTGGGACAAGAAGAGAAGACTGCCTGAGAGTCCCCCCCCAGCCCCTGCCACCAGGTGGCCGGCCCATGGAGCAGGGATGGCCTGTGTCAACAGAGAAAGGCCCGGAAGAGAAGGGTGTGCCCCTCCCCTGTTCACCTGCTCCCACACTTGCCACTGCTTCCTGACCTTCCTTTGGAATTTCGTCACCAGCTCCACAAAACTGGAGTCACTCACTTGCCATCAGACCCAGCTTCCCTCCCCACTCCAGCCCTGGGGTGGCGTCTCTCAGCCAATGGCCCCTCACTAAACTCATCAGCCCCTTTAATACCTTCATCTACTTCATCCTCCCCTCTGCTAACATCTCTAAACACCTCTCTCTCCCGACCCTTTCTTTCTCCCCACCTCCACCCTCTCCCTGACCTGAGTCCCCTCAGCCTCCTGCTCTTAGTCACTCAGGGCCTTGTATTAGGAGAGGCTAGACTTGGGCCCTGGTAACTAGAGCCTCTCCTCTCAGTGGCCTAATTAGTATATACATGTTTATTTCTTGTTCACAAAAATTTGTATGACTCTCTAGGACAGCTGTCCGCAGGGATCCAAGCCGCTCAGATCTGGCAAAGGCACCATCTTAACTCATGCCACACTTGTCACTGAGGGTGAAGAGAGACCAGGGGATCTGCTCGTCTATGCTTCCGGCGGAGGTGACACTCGGACCTGCAGCCCACTGGCTACAAGGTGCCTGGCTCTGCAGCTGCAGGTGGCTGGGAAATGTGGGGAGCACACATCTGCCGTCAAGTCTCTGTTTCTCGAAGTAACACATGCAGCAGCTGCCTCTGCCAAGAGCCTATGGGAACCTCCTACCAGTTCATGTCCAAGTTCCTGCCAGCCCCGCGATGATTTGGCCCCACCTGATGCTCCCCAGCCCATCACCTGCCACTCCTCAGTGTGAACTCTCTGCTCCAGGTTATCGAGCTAAGTCCTTCCTCCAAGCCCCTGCTCACGCCGCTCTCCTTGTTTATCAGTCTTTTGCTACTTCTTTCCTACATTCTTCAGGGCCCAAGTCAAGGTCAATCTCTTTTGTGAAAAAGCCTCCTCTTGGCTCAGCCCCTAGTGCTCTCCCGTCTCAGAGCTCTTCCTCAGCTTATTTTTAAGCTCTCACTCAGTCCTGAGCATATGTTCCTTCGGTAGCCCGTGTAGATTGCAACCCTTGGAGGTCAAGGGCTGTCTCATCGTCTTTGCCTTCTCAGTAAGTGCTCTCAGTGATTTTAATTCATGAATGGTTATTAAACACCTACTAAATGCCAGACACCAAGCTCAGCGAGGAGGATGCAAAGAACAACGAAACATGATCCCGGAAGGAAAGAAACTAGCATTTTTATGTGCCGGCCGTGTAACATTTAATGATTAAGAGAGCGCTCTGGAGGCACCTGGGTGGCTCAGTCATTAAGCGTCTGCCTTCAGCTCAGGTCATGATCCCAGGGTCCTGGGATCGAGCCCCACATCAGGCTCCCTACTCTGCAGGAAGCCTACTTCTCACTCTCCCACTCCCCCTGCTTGTGTTCTCTCTCTCTCTGTCAAATAAAATCTTAAAAAAAAAAAAAAGAGCGCTCTGGCGTGGGCTTGGGGTCAAATCCTGCCTCTGGTTAAATTAGCTACAAGACCTCAGGCTGTTACTTAACTTCTTTAGCTTGAATTTTCTCACTTCAACAATAATACTGATCACTATTCGCTTCTCAGAAGGACTGCTGTAACAAATTATAGAAGGGTATTCTCTCTACGGCTCTGGACGCCGGCAGTCTGAAATCAAGGTGTTGGCAAGACTGCTCTCTCTGTAAGACTCTAGGGAAGACTTCCTCCCTGGCCTCTTCATAGTTCTGGTGGCGCCCAGCAATCCTTGGTGTCACTTGGCTTGTAGGTGCCTTATTCCAATCTCTGCCTCTGCCTTAATGTGACATTCTTCTCTCTCTCTCTCTCTCTCTGTATGTCTTCTCCTTTTTTTTAACAAAGACATCAGCTGTTGTACTTAAGGCTCGCCCTCATCCACTATGACCTCATCTCAACTCATTACATCCGAAAAACCCTAGTTCCAAATAAGGTCACATTGTAAGATTCTGGGTTGACATATATTTTGGGAGGGGACACATACTCAACCCTCGACACCCACCTCATAAGATTATTGTGAGGATTAAATAAGATGGTGCCTGTAAATCATTTGGCACAATGCCTGGTGCACAGAAAAAACTCCTCAAATGTTACTCATTTTAAGAACAGTATGTTAATCAGGATTATTTTATTTGCAAGTATCAGAAACCCAACTCAGCCCTGGTGTGGCTGGATCTGGGTACTTAAATGAGGCTATTAGGAATCTTGCCCTCTTCATCTCTCGGCTGTCTATGTTGTCTTTATTCTCGGGGCATGATCTCCCAGTGAGGTGGTGAAGACATCCCTTCAGCAGGTCCAGGGCTCCATTTGACTAGCTGATCATCCTCAGTGGAAAAGCAACACTTTTTTTCTCAAGAGCTCCAGCAAAAGTCTCAGGGCTGACTCTCATGAAGCTAGTCTGGACCATGAGCCCATCCTGGAAACAATCTCTGTGGTCAGGGAGATGAATATCCTGAACGGTGTTGGGGGGGTTGGTGAGGGATGGGGTGGAGGGTTAGCCAACGTGGAACCACTTGAACAGCAGGTGAAGGAGGGGTGGTTCGCAGAAGGGAAATCCCAGTGCCGGCCGATCAGATGCTGAGCGGGCAAAAACAGCTCGTGTTCTGTAGATCGTGGCAATGCTGTGTTCCAGCTCCCAGCCCAGTGCCTGGGACCGTGCAGGAGTGCAGTAGGTGCTTACTGAAAGATGGCATGGATGGTGCAAGAAGGAACATGCTAGTCACCAAGTCAATTTGCTCATGTTTTTTCATTAGTTCCCGCAATAGCAGGCAAAGGAGGTATTATTATTTTCAGCTTGCAGTTGTAGAAACTGAGGCTTAAGTGATTGAGGCTTAATTGAGTTTAAGTGATCTGTCCAAGATGACAGAATGAACAAGTGGTGGAGCCAGGATTCAAAGCCAGGTAGGTCTCATTGCAGAGCCTGTGTACCTTCTGTCATACCACACTATCTTTGTCCCCCAGACTCACTGCCAGAGAAGAAAGAGTTTGAAGTCATACTATGGATTTTAGGTGCAACAACAAAATAATGCATTTCCTAGTCACCTTCCCACAATTTACCACTCCAGAAGCTCAAGCCCCCCTGTTCCTTTGTCTGGTCACTTCTTCCAATGTATTGCCCTTTGTTAAAAATGGTATATAAGCCCCTGGACTTAACCATCTCTTTGGGTTTTCACTTCTTTTCTGTGAAGCTCCATGCCTGTAAAAATATTAACATCAATAACATTTGTATGCCTTCGTCTGCTAATCTGCCTTTTGTTAGTTTAATTTGCAGACCCCAGGTACAGAACTGAAAGGGTAGAGGAAAGGTGGTTCATTTCCTACAGTGATATTTAGGCTGTTTCTAGTTTTCAGCTGTTAGGAATAAAGCCACTCTGAATAGTCTTGCCCATGTCCTTTGGTGGACATAAACCAAAGCACTCATTTCTTTTAGATATACACCTCAGAGTGAAATCATTGGGTCATCTGGATATCTTCTATCAAACATTTGTTGCTCTCCGTCTCTTTCCTCTTGGAGTCCCTCAGATTGTGCAGAACCCTTGCCTGCCGCGACCTCGCTAAGCCTAAAGGCAGAGGGTTGGATAAAATGACCTCCTGAGGCCTCTTGGCATTTCCCAGAAGGATTTAGCCATAGGTCTCTGGCCCCAGCTCCCGCCTGTTTGCTCATGAAAACATTTCATGTGATTAGCCAAGTAATGACATCTTAAAACTGTAGAGCTAATATATTACGTAATAAAACACAGGAGCAAATCTCTTTGACACATACTGGTGATTTACTCTGTCAGCCATAAAGATAATTACATTTCAGGTTGATATATAAAAGGCGGCAGGCAGAGCTTATGAAGAATTAGCATGGTTTTATGTCGGACCTCTCCATCCACGCGGACCTGTTCATCATTCCTCTCGCAACCAGCCAGCAAACACTGACTCAGCTGGGCCTGCCCAGCCACTGGCCACTGCTGCTACTAAAAGGACTTGTTGGCAGCACTGAAGGAATTGCTGCAGAGGCTCAGGTTTGGGGTACAAGGCATTCATTTCTACAGGCAGTTCTGTTACATTGCAGGAAAGACTCCAGCCTGGGAGACAGTGCACTTGGTCTCTGAGCCTGTTATGCCTCTTCCAGCCTTAAGCGAGTCACCAAGTCACCACCCCTCTTGGAATCAAAATATGCCCTGGGCAAGATGCTCTCCCCACCTCCTTGGCCTGTTACCCAGGAGAGGCTTATGATGAAAGCTCTGAGCTTTTTAGGACCAAAGCTGAAGTCAAGTCTCTCAGTCTGTTAAGTGTCAATGAACTTCTAAGGACAAGGGGGCAGGGCATTTGTACCCGAGCCTGTCCTGGTGTCACTGACTCCCAGGATTCCCTTCCCCCATGTTCCCTGCTGCCCCAAACTAGGAGGCAGGGGCCCAGAGGGGGACACTCAGGCAGAAGTGTCCAAACTCCCTGTTTGGAAACAGGAAACTGAGGAAGAGAGAGAATGTGTGGCCATCTGTAGTCACAGAGAAAATCGGTGTCAGAGCTGAGACAAAAAGTATGGAGCCAAAAATGGGAAGCTTTTGCTACCATGCCAGGTGAGGGAGCCTGGAATCCCCCGCGGTATCTGCTCCTTTTACCTTGGCACAAACCAGGATTTCAAAGGGAACTCAATCCCGTGCTGCTAGGCTCTGGCTTCCCCATCCCTTCTCTGTTGCTCCAATTGGTGGTAGGTTGTTTAGGGGAAGTTCCAGCTGGATGCAGGGGGATGGACAGAACGAGCTCTAGAGAGCCTGGTGGCAAATCCTTAGGCCCGGGGAAAGGCGGGGGGGGGGGGGGGGGGGGGGGGCGGGAGGTGATTATGGTTGGAGTAGCCATCCGGGTGAGCCCTCAGGAGCTGGATGCTAGGACTCTCATGGTCTCCTGCCCTTCCTCCTCTCCTCTTGATCTTCTGAGGCCCTCACCTTTGGTTTTCCAGTAGAAAATGTCTTCATCTTACCAAACCTGGGTAGAGCGCCTCCTCCTGGTCGGGTGGGGGCATCCTTCAGTGAGCCCCAGGACCTCAGAGTTTGGGAAGCAACACTGCAAATATGTGGTTCATCAGAAACAAAAAACAAAGCAAAACAAAAAAAATCCCACACAAACAAAACCCAAAAAACCCCAACGCTTCCAAGGGGTTGGCAATGCTTCCTCTGAGCCCCGGAGCCCCTCCTCCTTGGCTTAATGCAGGCAAGGCAGGTTTGGGGCACAGTTAGGTGGGGGGACTGGGGGGGGGGTGCGGGGAGGAAGCCTATTAGCAGGCCCAGAAGAACCCCAGAGTCCCTTCCATGTTCTGGAATGTGCAAACTCAAACACACCGCACACCGCTCAGCATCCGGCCCCAGCCCCCGCCGAGTCATTGAGGCAGACGGTGGGCGGTGGTGTGTGTGTGTGTGTGGGGGGGGGTGCTTGTGAGCCCCCGTGCGGCGGCGGGGGTCCCCAGAAAGCCCCAGGCCCCTCCTCCCGCGCCTTGCCTCCTCCCCCCGCAGACGGGCTCGGGCGCGGCCCGCTCGGCCCGGAGTCTGGGCGGCAGTTCGGCGGGCGGCGGAGCGCGGGAGCGCGGGCTTCTTGAGTGACAACGGGGCGGGGGGGACCGCGGGGCGTCCATTTGTTCTCCGGGGCGGAGGAGGCAGATCGACAGCGCCGCTAACGAGCGCGGCGCCACGTCCGCGGGCTTCGGGAGCCGTCCCAGCGGGGAGCCCGGGAGAAGATGAATCGCGTTGAATGACACAGGACATGGCAGATTGGATGTTTAATTTGGGCATCGCTCTAGAACACCCCCACACCCACCTCCTCGGCTCCCACTTAGCATCCTGCCCGAGAGAAAGCCCTGCTCCTCACAAATTGCCTTGTCAGGCGCCGAGAAAAAGCCCAACGTGACTGATGTCTATCTAGGTGGGTCCCTCGAAGTGCGGGGGGGAAAGGGACCGGCGTGACAGCAGAATGCGCCTTCCTCCGAAGACCGGGCGTGGTGCCGGGGCGGAGATCTGAGTCAGACACCGGGAGGGACCGCCCGGCGGGTGGGGGGAAGGGCCGCCAGCTGGCGGTGGGGGTTCGTTTAGGGGTTCGTCGGGGGCAGGAGGAGGGCCCGGCGACCGCTGCTGGGGTCTGGCGGCCTGGCGGCCGGGAGGGCCTGCAGGGCGGGGAGGAGGAGGGCCTGCAGGGCGGGGAGGAGGAGGCTGGCCCTTGGGTCCTCGAGGGCGGGGCGCCCGGGGCGGGGTGCGGAGGCGGGGCGCAGCCTCCAGCCGCCAGCCAGTCTTCCCGAGACTCCTCTCCCCAGCAGTCTGATCACAACCTGTCAGTCCCGCTTCCCCTCCAGCCTCACCTGCCTCCAGATCTTTCCAAACAAGGAAAGGAGCTGCAAACATGGCAATCACCTTACCTGACAGCGGCAGGGAGCTGCCAGGGCCCAGCTAGGGCTGGAGCCGGGCCGGGCCCGGGAGGGGGAGCCGCCGGGGAGGGGAACCGGTCGTGGCAGTCCTCCGGGCCTCTCTAGAGCTCATGCTGCAGCCCCCCCACCCCACCCCCGTGCGCCGATGGTGAGGGTGACCGTGAACACCACTGAGCCAGGCCAGGGCTCAACTTCAGGGACCAGCGTCTGAGAGGCCACCTGCTCAGGCAGCGGTTCTGGAAAGAGCCCTAGAGATTGGGGAGAGGGGTGAGACTAGGACCAGGTATTGGCATTTCTGCGAAGCACTGGTGTGGTGTCACCTGAGCAAGTCCCTTGTCGTCTTCAGTTGTGACACACAGGGGCTGGGGCCTCCTCCATCTAGCCGGTCCTTCTGTGGTTCTGGAGATCCCTTAGGAGGACCCGGCGTGGCATTTAGTCCCTGAGGAAACCACACTTGCTAGGCTGTGGAGGGGCCCTGCCCTCTCTTCTTCGCCCCCATGGCTGCTTGGCACCAACTCCGTGGAGCATTGAGGTGGCTCATGCAGGCTGTGTGGGATGAAGAGGCCTGTGGAACAGACTCCCCGGGCCTGAGTGATCTGGGACTCCTCAGTGTCCCCAGGGGGCTGGAACGAAGAGGCTGATGGAGGGGCATCTGGAGCCTTCCCACCTTCCTTCCCGTCAGCCTTCGGAGTCTTCCTGCACATGCCCAGGATAGCCCAATGGGAGCACCAGATTCCCCAGAACTGTCTGCCCCTCTTATTCCATCAGCTGGCTTTCTGAGGCTGCCCGACTCCCTCTGAGCTCTTGAAAGCCTGGGGACAAATAGAAGAGGGGGTGTTCTCCACATGAATGTGGGTTATTTGCTTCCAATGAAGCCACAGTGTGGATAATTTATCTGTACAAATCGCGACGGATTTTCCATCTGGTCTCACTGAGATTTCCTCTCAAATCAGAAAACATCTACTCTTTAGCTCCTACTCCTCCACCAAGCCCGCCTTCCCGTCTTCGTCTTCCTCCCCTGCTGTGCTGGATGGCTCTCCCCCGTGCCACTCAGGGCCAGCAGGCTGGTCCTAGGATGAGAGAGCTGAGAGCTCGGGGTGGGGGAGGGACTCTGAGAGAGAAGGGCCACTTAAAATGTCCCTTCGGCTTAAAGCATGAGGTAGGTGGGGAAAGTATCCTAATCATATGGAAGCTAGGGCGGGGGAGAATGTCACCAGCTCTTCCTGACACGTCACAAGAAAGATGTTGTGTCCCGGATGCTGAGGCAGCCCCCAGCAAGCCGTGTCAGAGCTCCCCCTCCCATGCCTCACCCTTTTGGGGTCCTCTGCCAGGAAGGGGGGGTGCCTTAAGACCCTCACGTTCTCTGCTCCCTCATTGTGTCTTTAGCAAAGTATCTACAGGAGTCTTTATACCTGCATTAGAAGGTAGGTTACCAGGTGACATCGTATGCAAATTCCTGGGTCATCTTTTCTGAAGGTTTTGTAATCAAGTTAAATAAGACTTTAAAAAATCTAGCTCTGGCCTTTGTTCCCTGGTCAAGTAAGACCAACACTGATGGCACTTGGGGTCTCGGGGGCCCCGAAAGTAGCAGGCAGGAAGTGCGTACTGGGCCATCAGATGAGGTGACCCTTCCGAGACTCTGGTGGTAGAGAAGCTTAAAAGAAGGCAAGTAACGCAAGTGGCCTTTCTCTTTCCCACCCTCTGCTCCAGGTTGGTGGGCTGGACACCAGGGCTAAGCTTCAGCTAAGCCCGGACGGGACTGAGGGTTGGTCCTCTTCTAAATCAGCCATCTGGGGGAGCAGATTACAGAGGCAGGCCTGAGGGAAGGGCTGCAGCCGATGCGAGCAGTGCCCCCCGAATCCCAACACCATCCCTCTGGGGGGGCTGCTGGTTAATGGGTGCCCATGTTTCCTAGCCACTCGCTCTCCCCTGCTATCCCCACCCTTAGCGGTGCTTGGTGGAGGCACATAAATGGGCCTCTGGGTTGGAGTAGGTAAAGGAGGAGCTTCAGCTTGGGGACAGAAGGGAGAGGAGAGGAACTGAAGCTGCCGCTCCTCCCCTCTGCCCAGCCGCTGCACCCCCCTCTGTCCTCAGGTGAATCACGCGGGATGGAACAGAAGCTCGAGAGATGTGCAGTGGGAAGACCCGAGTCCTCTTCCCTTGCTAAGTGTCCCCTAACTTCATTTAGCCTTAGTTTCTTTTTTGTTGTTGTTGTGTTTTAGCCTTTGTTTCTTATCTATAAAGAGGCAGGCCGGGAAGAAAAACACTGGGCTGGAGGATTAAAGGAGCTTCAGCATGGGAAAGGACTCGATGTCTGCAGAGCAATGTGCCGATGTGAATTATTATTGCCATCCCCACTCCTATGTATCAGGAAGGGAGAGCCTGGCCAGGCCGCTTTGTTTCATAGCAGACATGGCTCATCAAGCCACCACCCACCCAGACAGGTACATGGTCCACGGTAAAATGTGAAAGAGCAACCACCACCAAACCCTGGGGGTGTGATGCTTATCCACGCCATCCAACAGGAGGCTCTAGGGCCTAAGCCAGGTGAGGACCCTCTGAGCACTCAT